CCTCAAGGTTCATCCATGTTATGCGGTGGCTTGCAGCTTCTCAAGTAAATTTTATTTTATTCTAAAGTGTTTTCGTATGTATAATTGTGTTCCTGGCTTTTCTTCTTTTTAAATCATTGTTTTGCCTTTTTTTTTAATTGCATGTCAAGTGGATTTTTATTTACAGGATCAATTTGAAATTTTATTACCACCACATATGTGTTGTTGTATGTTGACTGCTTGGTTTTTTGGGGTTTTTTTTTTAATGTTTTATTGTGAATTATGTGATAGTTTACATGGGAGGATATCAGGTTCACATTGATCCCATTGTATATCATTTCCTTGCCATGGTTACAATCCCCTCCATGCATCATCCATCTACCAAAGGGTATACCCCACAAGCCTGGCCCCCAGTCGTCCGCATACCGCCCCTCCCTCTCTCCATGTCCAAAGTCTCCAGCCGTTCCATCTCCCCACGTCATCGTCTCAACCTCCATCCCTGGCATCACTGCTTCTTTGGGTAGGATTCCATACTCTGCTCTTCTCCTTTGATGGTCCCAGGGACCTCTGCTCCTAGACTGCAAGGTTAATCACTCCTCTCCCTTTGCCCCAAAATGTCTACCTTTACATTTCCAGCCCTTACAATCAGTCCTGATAACAATTATTTACTATTGTATTGCAAGAAACCTATCCGCATCTCCTTTCATCAGCCCTGACTAGGCATAATGTATACTACTTAGTGGAGATTCTACCTTTCTCCAAGCCCTCTGGATCTAGGTTCCCTCTTGAAAGCTTGTAAGCTAGTCACTTCTTGCCTCTGTTGCGCCTCCACCCACCCCCATTCTGGGTAGCCAATGTACAAGTTGCCCATCCCTGTCCTCTCGGTGTGTGGAGGAGGTGGGAGCCTCACCGTGAAGATTTGTTCACTCTTTTGAGCTATGGTTTCCATAGGTGTGTGTCAAGTTCATCAAATTGTATCAGATTACTCTTTTTTCCCCTCTTCTTTCTTTCTTCTGTTTTTTAAATTTGAAGGCTACGAGGGTGCTTCAAAATGTTCATAGAAAATTCCATTATCCTCTAGTAACAAGTTCCCGTGAAGTTTTTGAACTTCCCTCGTGTTTCTCATATTGATAGTTTTGATAGCTTATTTTCTGGAACACAATGTACTTTAATTTTATGAATATGCCTTTTATTTTACTAAATTTCTAGAATTTTACCTAAAAGTTTTCTGTTTTATCTTCTTCAAGCATTACCAACTAAATATTAGCAACATTGGGTCTCCTTTCTCTTTTTTTTTAAAATATATGTGATTTGCTTTTTAATACTTTTATTTAGTTTGCATCCATTCATTCATAGGATGAACTGTTTATTCTTTATGCTACTTTTAACTAAACCTTCATTTCTGTTAATGGTTTTGTTTTTCTTCTAGCTTCTTGATGAGTTTGCTGGCATATGCATCCTCTCCTCTGACTCTGCTATATATTTCTTAACCTTTTTTTTTTAAACAGGGAAAATGCACTATTAAGATGTTCTTTTTTAAATTATGTAGCCTATGGTCATAGTTTTCATCTGTTCCTATTAAGGTTCTTTGACCACCGTTGTCATTTTCCCTTCTTTTTTTCTTGTGGTACCAACTCGACGGCACTTCACAACAACAAATCCTTGTATAGTTCCAGCCCTGGTGTTTATTGCTACTATCTATCCCTATAAATCATGAGAGGAGGTGGCTATGGCTGTGATCTAAGGTAGCAAGAATTTTCCATGGTATTTTGTTACATTTATTATGGCATGGAGTTGTGTTAAGTTATTTTGTTCTTTGCTGCTGCTTTTTTTAACCAACAGATATCAGCAACTACAATGCCACTTACAGTGAATTCTTTCTCTCCTACTCTGCCTCACCACCATTCTACTTTCTGAAAATGGGAGCATGCACATGTTTCTTGTTTGTTTTTGTTGTTGTTAAGTGCTGTCAAATTGGTTCTGACGTATAGCAAGCCTGTGTAGGGTTTCCTAGGAGCTGCTGGTGAATTTGAACTGCCAACCTTGCAGTTCAAACTGACATGCAGTCCAGCGCATTAACCCACAGCTTTTCCTTGGTGCGAAACTGGGCTCAAGGAACTCTTGACATTAGCCATTGAACCCCTTTCTGTAATGACGTAAACAAATGACTCATCATTTTGCCTCTCAGAATGTATATACTTGTTTGAGATCTGTAGTCCCAGGTGACTTTTTTAGTGTCTTCTCATTCCTTGTTTAATTTCTACCTCATATGGTAGCCTTCTTTATTATTTTGTTGTGAAATTTAATATGTATCCTAGCTTTTGATGGTCCCTGGGTGGTGCAGATGGTTAAGCACTTGACTACTAGCTGTAGGGTTGACAGTTTAAACTCACCTAAATGCTCCTTGGAAGATAGGCTCTGAAAACTCTATGGAGCATTTCTACTGTGCACCTACAGGGTTGCCATGAATTGGAATTGACTTGAGGGAAACTAATAAAGCAACTGCTTTTTATTTTATTTTGTTTTTTTATTAAAGCTTTTATTGTGAACTGAGTGATAGTTTACATGGGAGAACATTGGTTTTGTACTCATCATTTTGTTTCATTGCAGTGGTTACAATCCCCTCCATACATCATCATTTATATGATGTATAAAGACAGTATATGAGTCTATTCCCTCTGTGTTGTTTGTTTTGTGTGTGTGTGTGTGTGTGTGGTGTTTTCATTTTTTGTTTTTTTTGGTTTTTTTGTGTGATGTACACAGAAACACTCAGGAATCATTTAAACACCCAAAGGACACATTCTGCAAGCCTGCCTCCTTTCTCTTTCCATGAGTCATGAGTCCATGAGTCTAGAGTCATGAGTCCAGAGTCTTCACCTGCTCTATCTCTCCATACCATGATCTCTGCCTCCATCTCTAATTTCATGGCTCTCTGGTTAGGCTCCTACATTCCACTCATGCTCTTCTCTTGATAGTCCAAGGGTCCTGTATTCCTGGAATGCAAGATTAGCTACTCCCCCCTTTATATTATAAAACTTTAACCTTTACAGTTGTGACAATTGCAATTAGTCATAACAATTACTCACTATTGAATCAAAAGAATCCTATCTGCATCTCCTTCCACCAGGCCCTCTAGACAAGAAGAAAAGTATTCAGTGCAGATTCTACCTTCCCCCACACACTCTGAAACTAAACCCCTCTTGAAAACCAGTAAGCAAACCACTTTGTAGCTTCCCTCATTATAAGTAGCCAATGTCTGAGTTGCCCATTCCTAGTATGTAGAATGAATTATACTTCATTCTTTTAAATGACCACCTAGTATTACTTTGTAAGGCTACATCATAATCTGTTTGACCAGCATCCTATTCATGAACCTTTGGATTATTGTTTGCTATCAGAAGCCATACAACAGTAAATGTACTTATACATGTTTCTTTACCTTGTTTCTGTACATATTTTTTGTAGGGTACTTCATAGAAGTAAAATTGCTGAGTGTACAACTGGAATTCAAATTTTAAATTCTAATAGTTCTTTATAAAGATTAGCACTGGATAAGAGTTTCTGTTTCTGCACATTTTTACCATGCGAGGTTTTTTTCAATATTTTTATGATAATTGTTATGCATATAGGAAAGTTGAAAGACTGTTAGAATAAATTCTCACAGACCAGCACCTAGATTGACAGTTAACACTTCACTGTGCATGTGTGGCACTGTAGGATAAACACTGAACTGCTAACCACTAGGTTGGCGGTTCAGTCTCACCAGCCACTACTCAGAAACAATATGCAGAGTAGCTGAGTCAGAATCAACTCCATGGCACTTTAACATGCGTGTTTTATTACATACCTGTTCAATTTGTATCTCTTAACAGTGAGCTATTATCTTTCCTGTACTTATTGATCATTTGAAAACTTCCTTCTATCTATTTTCCTTTTAAGATGGTAGTTGTTTTTCACACTGATAATGTAAAAGCTGTTTGTTAAAGAAATGAGTCTTTCATCTATCCTGAGTTATAAAATATAATTTCCCTGTTTGTGTTTTGATTTTGTCTGAGGTTTTGTTTTGTCTTGTTTTGGAGGCACTCTCATCTTTAGGTTTACGAATGGAGCTCTTTAAGGTTTATTCATGTGTATGCGTCACTGTCTCTTCTATCAAGTCTTTCTGGTGTATATCCACAAGTATTGATGACACTTCATCACTGGAACTTAAAACATAGCCATCCGTGTATAAAATGAAAAAATTTCATTAGATTTTAAATGTGTGACAGCTGTCCTATTTTTCAAGCCTTAATAATGACAAGTTTTGTTTCTGAAGACTTGTTCATGGGCTGTTTTATGCAAGCCATGGAATTTAGTATTTTTTATTCTAAATGTTATAAAATGCCCAATTATCTAGCAACTATTTTATTTTACTTAATTGTACCTCTGTTTCTTTATTGGTAAAATAAAGGAGTGAGGGCTTTAGATTTTAGGCCTTCTTATATAATTGCCCAGTACATCTATCATGTCATCTCATCTCCATGTATAAGGACAAGAGTTATCATTCCATTTTAACAGATAAGGGAACCACACTGGGAAATCAAGTTACTTAGCTAAGGTCCCACAGCTAGGTAATGACCTAACTCTTGTTATTAAGTGCCATCAAGTCGGGTTCCCACACTCCCAGTGACCCTGTATAGGGCTGCTGAGGAACAGCTGGTGGGTTTGAACCATTGACCTTTTGGTTCACAGTCCAGTCAGTCCTTATCCTTTAGTCCAGGAGTACATACCAGAACTAGGACCCAGAATTTCTTTCTATTTACTAACTTTTAGAGGATTTAGTATATGTGCATTTGCAGGACCAGACCTGACTTGCATAGCTTAAGTCTGGATAATTAAAATATTGTTCATGGCAATAACATTTGTTACTTTTGACAAAAATCACAGAATAGTTAGTTGAATTTTGTTTGTTTTGGCTTTGGTAGAGAGTGTTATAATGTATAGTGATTTGGAAAATATTTTCAGACTTTATTAATCAGTTATACAAAGAATGGGCAGCAAGTTTTCCCTTGCTTTTTAAGATGTTAATCATCGTAGAATAGTCTAGTTTATGGGAACGAATATACCTAAGCATACACTTGCTCTGTGTAATAGATGTTTAATTTATGCTCTTTAGTAGTTAGGGATCAGGAGTCTCTTTACTGGAATGGGGCCATTTTTAACACATGGCTGCCAGGGCTCCTGAAAGTTCCAAAATGGAGAAGAGCATGAAGGGGTGTGTGGCCCTGCCTGAGGGTGAGCACATTGGTTTGACTCACTTTCCATTATCCAGAAGCGAGATCAAAGGGGCTAGGGAATGCAGTTCATTTGACACCCTTGTAGCTGGCAGTCCACTGCACCGCCAGAGTGAAAACATCAAGATGGGCTTATATATTCTAGGATTATAACTTTTAGCATTCCTTCTTCCCATTTAGGAATTACACTTTCAGAATATTTCCGTGACATGGGCTATCACGTCAGTATGATGGCCGATTCTACCTCTAGATGGGCTGAGGCTCTTAGAGAAATCTCTGGTCGCTTAGCTGAAATGCCTGCAGGTAAGCCATCGTATTGCTTATTATATAAGCATGACAGGTATTATATGGGGGCTGGTTTTGAATCTCTTTTTAATATTCTTTTCATTTTTCAGATAGTGGATATCCTGCATATCTTGGTGCCCGTCTGGCCTCTTTCTATGAGCGAGCAGGCAGGGTGAAATGTCTGGGAAATCCTGAAAGAGAAGGGAGTGTCAGCATTGTAGGAGCGTAAGCATTCAAACTCTACTTCCCAAACAAAAAAAAGTCATTGATTTAATAGAATGTATATTTAGGTTCCTCTTGAGTTGTTGATTCTTAACCAAGGTTGCTGTTTAGAGCCATCAATGGAGCCATTTGATAATGCTTGTTTGAAGATGCTCATAGATAGGTCAGCTCTCTAGGTGTAGTTGTAATGTTTGATTGGATTGATTTATTGTACTTATGTCACAATACCCTAAGAATGTGTTTCAAAATCATAGACATATTAAAGTAACTTAACTATGAATTTATTAACTAAACTAGGAGATAGTGTCATAGTAAAAACAAAGATCCATAATCAGTTAATATATAAAACCCTACTTTTGTCTTGGAACTTTTGCTTCTTTCTTGCTTCGTCTTATTAGAATATTGAAACCATAATAAAATACCTCTTTCTCACTGTTATTATTGTTATGTGTTGTCAAGTCGGTTCCAACTCACCACAATCCTAAGTGCAATAGTGTCATCATACCAGACAATTTTTGATAGTTGTCATTCCTACTTATAATTTAATATCTATTTTTATTTAAGATTGTTAGGTAAGATTTTATTTCCAAAGGCTGTTTCTAAAGTTACTTACATGTTCCTCATTAAAAACTGATTTCCAAGAAAATATTTACTCTAATATCAAAGCTTGTTTTTTTTTAAGCATTTCTAATAACTGCTTTTGTTTTTCTTTTTTTCTTCACTCAGAGTTTCTCCACCTGGTGGTGATTTTTCTGATCCAGTTACATCTGCTACTCTTGGTATTGTTCAGGTATGTCTTTCCCTGGTCTAGTCAACTTCTGAGCCTTCCCCCTACTCCCAACTATGCTAATGCTATCCAAATTTTCATTAAGTACTTAACTTGATCATTAAAGGGTGACTGAAGGCAATGGAAAACTTTGTTTTATTAATATTCATCTCACTAAGAGCCTTTTTTCTTGTTGTTGTTAAGTGCCTTTGAGTTGGTTCTGACTCATAGTGACCCTGTATAGGGTTTCTGAAGAGCAGCTGGTGTGTTTGAACCACCAACCTTGCAGTTCAACTGACCTGGTCCAGTGCTATCCTATAGCGCCACAGCAGGACTCCAAGAACCTTTAATACTGTCCTTTATTACTTCATTACCAAGGGCTAATAACAAACTTAGTGTCTATAAGTGGGAAAGGGGTAAAATAGATCCAGAGGCAGCAAGGTTTTTTAAGTGTTAGAGTAATACCACCCTTTAGGTTATAGTAACACTAATTATGGGGAGAAATACACATAAAAAAATACATGTCATGACAAAAAAACCGCAGTAGTTTATTTCTCCAAGGCAGATGGTTCTATCAAAGAGTGGGCCTCTTCCACTCAGTAAATCAGAGACTAGGATGCCATCCATCTTACGGCTTATCACCTAGCCTACTAATCACCTGCATCTGATTAGCAGAGGAGGAAACTGTGGGGAAAACACACCCATTTTTTTTTAACTAGTGGCATAGTCATTCCACTCATTCCAATGGCCACACCCAGGTGAAAATCAGACTGGAAAATGTAGCTTTGCCTAGGCAGCTGCTTCCCAGAACCAAGGTATAAATTATAAGAAGCATACAAATAAGAACTATAGTCCCTCCCACAAAGGTGATGTAGTCATAAGAATATATGTTACTATTCTTGTGGGAAAAACAGAACATGTGCTGTGAGGCTAAATTTACAGTTCTAAAGATATAAAAAATTTTATTGTTAATGTTTTATTTGTGTATCGTCTTGTTAAGTGCCCTTGAGTCAGTTCCAACTCATAGAGACCCTGTGTAGGGTTTCCGAGGAGCAATTAGTGAGCTTGAACTGCCAATCTTGCAGTTTAAACTGACCTTGCAGTCCAGTGCATTAACCCACAGAGCCACACCAGGACTCCTTGTGTGTCTTGCGTATAAGCAAGAAAAGAGGGGCAAAACATTTTGATGTCTTTAACATTTGCCAGAATTCTGAGTAATGGTATGAATGCCTAAAATATATGTGAATGTTTAGCTTCAGAAAGCTTACTATTAGGTTTTACTGGGTTGTATCTTAATCATAGGAAACTGAATTTTATCAGAATACTTAAGAGGTTGTTAACCAGAGTGAAATGTGTATTTCAAGTCAATAAGCATTTTCTGGTTTACCTGTTTTTATTACTTCATAATAATCTGCAATGAGTGAATTTTTCTTTTTGACATAGCATTAAGGAAACTGAGATAAATTTTGAATGAGATTTATAGTCACTTCACACTCTGAAAGGCAAACATGTTTTACTTGACATTTTTCACAAGTTTTATTATGTTTTAATTATACTGGGTATATTCTAAAAAGGATGTATAATTTAACTAGAAAATTATAGAATTGCATATGTTGGGGCATATTTAGGACAAATAAATATACCTCAATAAGTTTTTGCTTTGTTTTTAAGAAAAATCTGCCATTTATTTATTTATTTTTTAATCAGGTATTTTGGGGCTTAGATAAGAAATTAGCTCAACGTAAGCATTTCCCCTCTGTCAATTGGCTAATCAGCTACAGCAAGTACATGCGTGCCTTGGATGAGTACTATGACAAACATTTCACAGAGTTTGTTCCTCTGAGGACCAAAGCTAAGGAGATTCTGCAGGAAGAAGAAGACCTGGCAGAAATTGTACAGCTTGTGGGAAAGGTGAGTTAATAAATTCCATGGAGAAGACCTCTGTGAGTTACCATTTGAGTGTTATAAGAACAGAAAGAGTCCTGGATATATAAATTTTTGTGCAGAAAAGTAAGTATTCACCAAATATGTTTTAAATCAATTGAGTTTAAGATGATTTCTTCATCCAGTAGATATTTTTAAGGAACCTACTTATATTGTGGGAGATAGAAACATGGTTATCTATTGCTGGGTAACAAACCATGTCAGTACTTAGTGGCTGAAAACAATGTTTGATTGCTCCCAGCTCTGGGGTCCATGGCTCCCTGACTAGTCAGTCTTCTTTGGAGCTCCTCACTATTGCAGTCATATGTTGACTGAGGCTTTGAAAGTTTTTTCACTCTTGTCTGAAAGCTGGAGGTTGGCTAGCATTTCTCTTTCCATTTTTTGCTACCTGAGTAAGTGTTAAAAATGACCGGTGGAAACTGCCAACCTCTTAAGCGTGAGCTCAAAAACTAGCATAGTATCACTTCTGTATTACTCTTTTGGTGAAAGTAGCCATGGATCCTGCCCAGATTCAAGGGGAGGGACTTCTTGTTGTTAGGTGTCGTTGAATCAGTTCTGACTCATAGTGACCCTATGCCCAGCAGAATGAAACACAGTACTCAAGAATAGTCCATTAAAATAAGTAACAAACTTATTATGATCCTTATTATCTTCTTTTTTTAATCCTTTACAGCAGTCAGCATATGCTGGGTATATTATAGGTAGGAAACATTTTGCTTTATTTCTTGAAAAAAATCTTCCATATTAAAAATGATAGCGTTAGGGTCTCTTAGCATACATTTTTGTAGGAGCCCAAGGGCTAGAAATTGGAAGCACTGGATTCAAGTTCTAGTTTCACCTATAATTGTGACCTTAAAAAAAATGGCTGTGCCTTGATGTTTCATAGAAAGATGTTGTTTTTTTTAAGTGCCATTAAGTTGGTTCCGACTCACAGGGATTCTATATAGGGTTTCTGAGGAGAAGCTAGTGGGTTTGAACCACCGACCTTGAGGTTAGCAGTCCAGTGCTTATCCTCTAGCATTACACCAGGACTCCATCATAGAAGGACAGAGTAAATTTGGCTAAATTATGGTACAGAATTGAATGACTTCTCAGATTGTATGCATTTGTAGTCAGGATGCTTGAATTCCCTATCTAATTTTACTCCTATTGTTTCTCGTAAAAATAACCTCCTTCTTTTTTCTAACAAAGTATAAAATTATTAGATACCTGGCATCTACTAAAGATATCCCATAAAGATAAAATCCTCAAAAACCCCCGAGGCCAATTCTGCTCTGTTATATAGGAGTCCTGGCATGGCATTGTAGAATAAGCATTAGACTGCTAACTGCAAGGCTGGAGGTTCACATGCACCAGCTGTTCCTTGGAAACCCTGTATCAAATCAGTGTGAGTTGGAATGGATACAACTTCACTTAGCAACAACAATAGCATGTATTAAATACTGATTATATACACAGGGAGGGAGAGTACTATGGCCATATAAATTGTGCAAGAAGCAAAAGATATCTCAAACAGATATTATACAAGAAAAGACAATTTAAAACTCATTTTGTTTATGAATGTTGTTGTTAGGTGTGATCAAAGTCAGTTCCGGTTCATAATACAGGTGTGAAAATCCCAAATGTTTGCTTACTAGATCCAAGACTATGAAAAATAAGCAAGTAGTTTGTCTCAGGAGTGAAAGATGATTCTACACAGGAAAATCTATTAATATAATGGAAAAAAGAATTTTTCAACCAATGTGTAAAATATACTTGAAGTTTAATATGTATTTGACCCGAACCATACTATTTATTTGAAATTGAATAAGGAAGATCAGAGAAGAACTGATACACTTGAATTATTGTGTTGGTGAAGAGTATTGAATATATCATGGGACTATCACAAGAATAAGCAAATCTGTGCCTTGGAGAAATTATTATAGCCAGATGCTCCTTAGAAGCAAAGATGATGACACTGTCTCACATACATTGGTCATGTTTTCACTAGAGACCAGTTCCTCCTTCTGTTGTACATGGGGTCACTCTGAGTCAGAACCAACACAGCAGCACCTAACAACAATTTAAGATTTTTTAATTCTCATGACAAACATTAATTTTGTAAAAGTAATATACAAAACCAAACAAAATAATTTATCTAATAGAGAAATGTCAAATGCGTTCCCTTTATATATCAGGATTAAGGCAAGAATCTCCTAAGTGTCATTGCTGGTGTTCAAAAGAATACCAGTTATGTAAGAAATAAAGAAAAGTTGTAAAGAAAGTGATTTAAAAAAAGAATGTCATTATTTGTAGTTAGTATGCTTATTTCATTAGAAAGATCATACAAATTTACAAAGAAACTATTAGATATAATGAAAGTTTTGTGAGGATGCCAGATTCAAGACAATATAACAAAAAATCAATAAAGTTTCTCTGTATAGAAATAACAATTAGGAAATGAAAAGAAAGTCCAAGCATGCTCTTAGATGGTATGACTTATTAAAATTGTGACACATCTTTAAAACTTATCTATGAATTAATTGAGAATCCAGTAAAATTTCCAGTTGGGTTTTCTGAGGAAATTAGTAATTTTCTAAAGTTCCTATGATTGAACAGCTAAGAAAACCCTGAATAGCATGCTGTTAAGTGCGATAGAGCCAGTTCTTACTCATAGCAACCTTGTATAGCGTTTGCAAGGAGTAACTGGTATTTTGAATCACCCACTTTGTGGTCCAAGCTGAACTTGCAGTCTAGTGCTTTGTTAAATAGTGCCACGCTAGGACTCCCTGAACATAATAGAGGGAGCTTTTCTTCAACTGGCTATTAATACAAGCGCATAGTAATAAAACCACCACTCATCTGTCAATTTGTCATACTGTGGTGGTTTACATGTTGCTGTGATGTTGGAAGTTATGTCACCAATGTTTGAAATGCTATCTGGGTCACCCATGATGGACAGGTTTCAGAGGAACTTTTACAGAATAAGACAGACTAAAAAGGAGGAGAGGTAGAACACTTCTGAACATTTAGCCACTGAAACATTAAGAATAGCACCAGAATATTGTCAGATACAGGGCCAGAAGATGATCTTCTCAGGTTGGAAGGTACTCAAAATAAGGGCAAGTGCTATCTCTTCAAATTAGAGTTGACAGGATGATGCAAGTGGAGTAAAGCTTTTGAGACTTTCATTTACTGATGGAACACAATTCAAAATGAGGACAAAGATCTGCAAATATCCTTTAATAATCAGAACATGAAATGTATGAAGTATAAATCCTAGAAAATTTGAAGTTGTCAAAGGTGAAATGAAAAGCGTAATGATCAATATGCTTGGCATTATTGTTGTTGTTGTTAAGTACTGTGGAGTCAATTCCGACTCATAATGACCCTGCACAGGGTTTCCAAGGCTGTAAATCTTTATGGTTGCAGAACGCCTCATTTTTCTCCTGTGGAACCGCTGGTAGTTTTGAACTGCTGACCTTGAGGTTGGCAGCCCGACTCATGACCACTATGTTACCAGAGCTCCTTATGCTTGGTATTAGTGAGCTGAAATGGACTGGTATTGGCCATTTTGAATCTGACAGTCTTCTGGTTTACTATGCCGAAAACAACAAATTCAAGAGCAATGGCATAGCATTCATTGTCAAATAGAACATTTTAAGATCTATCTTGAAGTACAAAGTTGGCGGTGATAAGATAATATCCATAAGCCTACAAGGAAGATCGGATTCCCAGTATGTCACTGTTAAATAATGCATTGGATCGCAAGGTCAGTTTGAACCACAAGATTGGTGGTTCAGATGCAACAGCCACTCCTTGAAAACCTTACACACGGTCGATATGAGTTGGAACTGACTCAACAACAATAACAAGGAAAACCAGTTAATACCACTGTTGTTCAAATTTACACACCATCCACTGAAGTCAGTGATGATGAAATTGAAGAATTCTATCTACTTCTTCAGTCTGGATTCAATTAAATATAAAATCAAGATGTGTACTGGTAATTATTCGTGATTGGAATGCAAAAGTTGGAAACAAAGATAAAGGATCAGAAGTTAGAAAATAAAGTCTTAGCGATAAAATGATACTGGAGAACACATGATAGAATTTTGCAAGGCCAATGACTTATTCATTGCAAATGTCTTTTTTAAACAACATAAAAGGCCACTGACTATACACATGGACATACCAGCTGGAATACACAGTAATCAAATTGGCTGTATCTGTGGGAAGAGATGGTGGAAAAGCTCAGTTATCATCAGCCAGAACAAGGCCAGAAGCTGACTGTGGAACAGACTATCAATTGCTCATCTGATAGTTCAGGTTGAAACTGAAGAAAATTAAAACTGGCCCATGAGATCCAAAATAGGATCTTGAACATATCTCACTTGAACTTAAAAACCATCTCAAGAACACATTTGATACATTAGACACTAATGAATGAAGATCAGAAGAGTTTATGGAATAACATCAAGAACAGCATTCATGAAGAAAACAAAAGGTCATTTTTTAAAAAGGCAGGAAAGATAGACCAAAGTAGATGTTAGAAGAGACTCTGAAATTCGCTGTCCAATATAGAGATGCTAAAGCAAATGGAAGAAATGAGGAGGTAAAAAGCTGAACAGAAAAATGTCAAAGGTCAGCTCAAGAAGACAGTCAAGTATTATAATGAAATGTACAAAGACCTGGAATTAGAAACCCGAAAGGAAAGAGAGATTTAGCATTTCCCAAGCTGGAAGAAATGAAGATGAAAAAAATTCAAGCTTCTATTTGCAATATTGAAGGATTCTATGGACACAGTGTTTAATGGTACAGAAAGCATGTAAAAAAGATGGAAGAATATAAATATACTATGCAAGAAGGAAATGATTAATGGTGCTGAAGGAAGAAGTCCCAACTGCACTGAAGGCATTTTAGAAAATCAAGGCTCCAAGAATACAATACACAGAACACAAACAAATCTTTCAACAAACGGATAAAGCACTGGAGGTAATCACTGATCTATGCCAAGAAATTTGGAAGAGAGCCAACTGATTGGCAGAGATCCATGTTTATGCCCATTCCAAAGAGAGATGACCTAGTAGAATGTAGAAATCATTGAGCAATATCAGCATCACATTCAAGTAAAATTTTTCTTAAGATAATTTTAAAATGTCTGCACAAGTACGCTGACAGCTGATAGAAATTCAAGCTGGATTCAGAAGAGGATGTAGAAAAAGAAATATCATTGCTGACAACAGATGGATCTTGCTGAAAACAGGGTGTTTACTTGTGGTTTACTGACTATGCAAAGACTTTTTTTTTTTTTTTTTTAATTGTGAATTGAGTGATAATTTACATGGGAGAACATCAGTTTTATACTCATCCTATTGTATTTTGTTTCTTGCAATGATTATAATTCCCTCCATGCATCATCAAGGAGCTCTGGTAGTGTAGTGGTTATCAATTGGGCTGCTTGCCTCAAGGTCAGCAGTTCGAAACTACTAGCTGTTCCACAGGAGAAAGATGAGGATTTCTGCTCCCATAAAGATTTACAGCCTCGGAAACCCTGTACAGGGTGGCTAATAAGTCGGAACTGACTCTATGGCACACCACCACCATGCATCACATGCATCATCATTCAACAGTATTTTCTTCTATTCCCTCTTGGTTTTTTTGGATGTACACGAGAACACTCAGGAATATATAGTCATTTAAACATTCTGCAAGCCTGCCTCCTGGCTGCCAGCACACAACCTTTCTTTTTCTGAGTCTAGAGTTCTCAGCTGCTCCCTCTCCATGTCATCATCTCTGCCTCCATCTCTGGTGTCACTGCTTCTCTAAATAGGGTCCCACATTCTGCTCATGTTCTTCTTTTTTGATGGTCCTAGGGTCCTCTGTTTCTGTACTGAAGATTACCTACTCTTCCGTTTTTGTTACAAAACTTCTACCTTTACAGTGTGACAGTCACTATTAGTCATGATAATAATTACTCATTATTGAATCTTTAAGAATCTTATTCCAATCTCCTTTCACCAGACCCATCTAGACAAGATGAAAACTATTCTGTGGGGATTCCATCTTCCCCTACACACTCTGAAACTGAACTCCCTCTTGAAAACTTGTAAGCCAGTCACTTCATGCCTTTATAGCCACTCCCTTCCACCCCCCATTTTAGGTAGCCAATGTCTAAGTTGCTCATCCCTGTTAACCCTGTGTACAGAAGGATTCATCCTCGATGTGAAGACTCCTTCCCCCTCAGTTGGTATTTATACATCCATAAGTATAGGTCAAGTTCATCAAACTACAGCAATTTATACTTGTTTTCTTAATAAGAATATTTTTATCTTTCTCTAGTTGAATTCTGATCATCAATATGCAAAGACTTTTGACTGTGTTGATCATGACATGCTACAGATAACAATATGAAAAATGGGTATTCCAGAATACTTAATTGTGCTCATGAGGAAACTGTAGCTAGACCAAGAGGTAGACGTTCAAACAGAACAAAGGGATACTGAATAGTTTAAAATCAGGAAAGGTGTGTTCCAGAGTGGTTGTATGCTCTCACCGTATTTATTTAGTCTGTATCCTGAATAAGTAATCTGAGAAGCTGAAATATATGAAGAAGAATGTCTCGTCAGGATAGGATGAAGTCTAGCAACCTCCTTTAACAGATGATACAGCTTTGCTTGCTGCAAGCAAAGAGGGCTTAAAATACTTACTGATGAGGATCAAAGACTACAGCCTTCAATATGGATTGTACTTCATTGTAAAGAAAACAAAAATCCTCACCTAACAACTGTACCAGTAAATAACATCATGACAAATGGAGAAAAGATTGAAGTTGTCAAGGATTTCATTTTGTTTGTATCCACCATTAACACTCATGGAAGCAGCAGTCAAGAAATCAGATGAGTTATTAGTCAAATCTGCTGTACAAGACCTCTTTAAGTGTTTAAGAGTAAAGATATCAGTTGTTGTTGCTAACTGCCGTCGAGTCAGTTCCGACCCGTAACGACCCTGTACAGGGTTTCCAAGGGTGTAAATCTTTACGGGAGTAGAAAGCCTCATCTTTCTCCCGTGGAGCAGCTGGTAGTTTCGAACCACTGACCTTAAGGTTCGCAGCCCGATTCGTAACCACTACGCTACCAGGCCCTCCTTGTAAGAGCCAACAAATCTGTGTTGGAAGAAGTACAATCAGAATGCTCCTTAGAAGCCAGGATGACAAGACTTTATCTCTCATACTTTGGACATGCTATCAGGAAGGACCAATTCCTGGAGAAGGACATCATGCTTGTAAAGTGAAGGATCAGCGAAAAAGAGGAAGACCTGCAAAGAGGTAGATTGGCACAGTGGCAGTAGCAGGGGGCTCAAGTGTAATGATTTTAAGGCTAGCTCAAGACCACACAGTGTTTTGTTCTGTTGTGCATAGGATTGCTATGAGTCAGAACCAACTTGAGAGTACCTAACTATACCAGCATAGTAGTAATATCATGGTATTGGTGAACTAGACAAACCAACCAGTACTAACAGACTCTAGTATATTTGGGCACTTGATATTGCAAAGATGGTATCACACGTTAAGTGAAATGACAATGGATTTTTCAGTCCATGACAATAAGGAAGACTACTTAGTATTATAGAGAAAAATTAAACAATCACTACTTACTTCCTCATACAAAGGTAAACTCCAGACACATTAGCAAATAAGTGTGAAACTTTCAAGCTGATAGAAAATAACATAGGCGAATGTCTTTATGACCTAGGCTTTGGAAAGAACTTCAACAAATCACTTCAAGTACAAGCCTTAAGATAAATGAAAAACAAAAATGTGTTACATGAAATTTAATGATTTTTGTTAACAAAGGAATATCATGGGTAAAGGTAACATTGGGAGAAGAGGTTTGCAACATCTTCAACCGACTAATACCAAAATTAGTAGTAGAAGGGAATTTTTTTTTTTTTCAATGATTATCTGGAGTTTTAAAAAAGTAAATCAGAGGCTTTTTGGTTACTTTTAAACATGGGCCCAAGCACTGATTTATTTGCTGGTCAGTAGGCAGATTACAGAAGCAGTGCGATGTTACTATGAAATATCTGCATAATAAAAGAAAATGGTCATAAAGATAACTCTTACTAATTTTCTGACTAAAAATGCCATTCCCATTCCTAGGGATAATCCAGATGACCTGTAATCTTCCACAAGTGGAGTTATTACTAGAGTTGGCAAAATGCCAATTTTTATCATCATAGTAAATTTTTATGATTTGTGTATTTTTTAAATGTATTATTAAATATTTCTATAATTTTATAGGTAATGTTAACCAACCCTCTAGACAAAAGATCAGATTTATAAAGATAATGATAAAAGGCAATAGTAATGGGAAGTAAAACAAAATAATGAGGTATTCAATGAACTTCATAACTGACTTGTAACAATCAGGATGGAACTCCATTTTAAGTAGAGGACTTATTGAACATATTTTCTATACCTTGTATTATATACTTTTAAGCACCATGTAAGGAACCTTGATGGCCCAGTGTTTAAGCGCTTAACAGCTCGCCAAAAGATTGAAGCTTAAACCCACCAACCCACTCCACAGGGAAAAGATGTTGGCTTCCATGAAGGTTGGCTGGTGGTGGTGGCTGTGTGCCATGGAGTTAGTTCCGACTCATAGTGACCCTGCACAGGGTTTCCGAGGCTGAAATCTTTACTGGAGCAGAACACCTCATCTTTCTCCTGCGGAACAGCTGGTAGTTTTGAACTGCTGACCTTGCGGTTGTACGCTACCAGAGCTCCTTTGAAGATTACAGCCTTGAAAACTCTATGGGACAGTTCAACTTTGTCCAAATCGACTTGATGGCATATAACAACAACAAAGCACCATGTAAAGAGCCCTGGTGCCAGCCTCTGCTTGACAGAGAAGACCTGGCAACCTGTTCTCATAAAGATTACATCCTAGGAAACCCTATGCCACAATTCTAGTCTGTCTTCTAGCTGCTGTGGGCCAGAATCTACTCACAGCACACCATGTGATGCAGTGGGATTAGAATGGTAGAACTCCACTTTCTATGGGGGTGACCTGGGTTTGATTCTCTGCCATTGCACCTCATGCAAACCTCAGTGCTGAACAAGTTCCTGCAGAGCTTCTAGACTAAAGATAGGCTAGGAAGAAAAGCCTGGCAATCTACATTAAAACATCTACCAGTAAAAAGCCTAGATAGGGCTTACAACAGCTTGATCCTGTTATGCAAGTGGTCTCCATGAATCATGGTCAACAACAGCAGCTAATAACAAGTACCATGTAATGTTTAAAGAAAGAACAAAAGAAAAACTAACTGTATAGGGGATTTATAATCCTGTGAAAGAAATTCAATACTGAGAATTCATATAATTATGATAACAAGCCAGAATATGAAACTGACAGGGTTCTTACAAAAGATTATCAAGAAAAAAGCAATTATGAAGTGAATTTGCTGCTGTTATTGTTAGGTGCCATCGCATCAGATGCAACCCATAGCAACTAATTTTAGCCTGTTGTTGTTAGGTGCTATCAGCTTGGTTCTATCTCATAGCTACCGTCTGCACAACAGAAGGAAATGCTGCCCGCTTCTGTGCCGTCCACACAGTTGTTAGGCCGTTGCGCCCATTTCTGTTGCCGCTATGTTAGTCCATCTTGTGGAGGGTCTTCTTCACTGATCCTCTACTATACCAAGCCTAAGGTCCTTCTCCAGGGACTGGTGCAAACATGATCACAGTATGTGAGACCAAGTCTCGTCATCTTTACTTCTAAGGAGCAGTCTTACATAATTAATGATAAATTGATTATGTAATCTCTACTTCCTACGAGATTAATACCATCAGTCCCACACTTTGGTAGTAAGTTTGTGAAAAAAGACTATGTATCTTTCTTTTCTAGGCTTCTTTAGCAGAAACAGATAAAATCACTTTGGAGGTGGCAAAACTTATCAAAGATGACTTCCTACAACAAAACGGGTATACTCCTTATGACAGGTAAGCTGTACTGATTATTTTTATTTGAAGAATTTGTATTTTGTATTGGAGGAAGGAGTTGCCTACACACGTAACTTTTTCCTTATAGAGACTCATTCTAACTCAATGTTTTGTTGTTAAGTACCATGGAGTCGGTTCCGACATAGTGACTCTGCACAGGGTTTCCAAGGCTGTAAATCTTTATGGGAGCAGAAAGCCTCATCTTTCTCCCGCAGAACCACTGGTAGTTTTGAATTGATGACCTTGAGGTTGGCAGCCTGACTCATAACCACTACACTACCAGAGCTCCTTAACTCAATGTACTGGCTTAGTTTTTATATTAATAGCAGCCAACTAATGAAGACCCATATATAGACCCTGCCTTAATTTTGAGGAGCTCTGATGGCACAGTGGTCAAGTGCTTGGCTGCTAACAAATCACAGTTTGGACCCACCAACTGTTCTGTGACATCCATAAAGATTACAGCTTTGGAACCCTATGGGGAAGTTCTATTCAATTCTTTAGGGTGACTATGAGTTGGAATCAGCACCAGATTTATTTGTTTATGGGCCTTGATTTTGCTCTTTTGTCCAGTTATGACAGATAGTATTTTCAGTCATTTAGTGCTGTAGGATAAAGCACTGCACCAAAAGGTCAGTTTGAACTGCAAGGTCAGTGGTTCAAACCCACCACCTTGGAAACCCTATACATGGTCACTATGAGTCAGAACCCACTCGACAGCAGTTAACAACAATTTAATCAGATTAAATTGTACTTTGGATATTGTCAGAGTCTGTAGATGATTTCCTCTTTCAGAAGGTGTTTTCACTTGTCTCCTAACTGCCGCCGATGGTGCTCTCCCTAAACATCGTCACTGCTACTACCTTTGTCATTTCTCTTAAATGTTGAAAATTTGAGCCCTTTCATCATGGGCTAGCTTTTCTCACTCAAATTATATCTGGCCTCACTTAAGACAAAAGAGGAGATTGAAAAATAGAAGGATTGCCCAAATTGAGAGCAACCAAAAGTATGACAGTGTATTGGCAAACAGCTCAAATATCTGTATGTAGGAACCATCCACAAAAAGATATCTCAGTAAAGGGAAAACATTTGAAAAAGGTATAATAGGGATCATGCATGAAACTATATACACATTTGGATAATTGAAGTTGAACATATGTTTGGATATTTTTGGTATTAAATGCTGTGGATAAATAGGGAAAGGAACTATTATTAACTTTTGGGAATTGGAGTTTTTTCTTCATTCATTAAATCATAAGCGTTTAGTGCAAAAGAGTCTTTGTTGTTGTTGTGAAGTGCCATCGAGTCGGTTCCGACCCATAGCGACCCTGTATAGGGTTTCCGAGGAGCAGCTGGTGAGCTTGAACTGCCGACCTTGCAGTTCAAACGGCTTTGCAGTCTGGCGCATTAACCCACAGCGCCACACCAGGACTCCAAAAAAAGTCTTTACAACTCAATTATTCTACCATTTGGCTTTTTTGTTTAACTGCATTGTACCAGAGCAAACCCTCAGAGAATCATTAGATTGTAGCAATATTATTTTAGTGTTCATCCATTTGGCGTTTTTAAACAAGACCATAAACTCTTATATAAAGTAATATATTTTCCATTTGTATATTTTATATATTGAGATTTCTCTGTAGTGGAGAATTTCTTTTTTATTGCTCTTTATCATGCAATAAAAGGAGCTCTGGTAACATAGTGGTTATGAATCGGGCTGTGAATCCCAAGGTCAGCAGTTCTAAACTACCAGCTGTTCCGCGGGAGAAAGACGAGGCTTTCTGCTTCCGTAAAGGTTTACAGCCTCAGAAACCCTATACAGAGTTATTATGAGTCAGAACCGACTCCACAGCACACAGCCACCACCACCACCATCATGCAATAAATGTAAGTATAGGCATACCTCTGAGATACTATGGGTTTGGTTCCAGATCACTTTAATAAAGCAAGTATTGCAATAAGGCAAGTCAAATGAATTTTTTGGTTTCCTAGTGGAATAAAGCATTGAACTGAATGTCGCTATGAGTCACTCAAAACAGCAGAGTGCATATAAGGAGTCTTGATGTGTCACTGTAGGATAAACACTGAATTGCTAACTGCGAAGTCGGTGGTTGAAACCCACCAGCCACTCCTCAGAAACCCTGTAACTGGGTAGCTATGATTAGAACAGGCTCAACAGCACTTAACAAAAATGCATATAAAGTTTATGTTTATACTGTTCTGTTACCTACTAGCGTAGTGGTTATGAATCGGGCTGTGAACCTCAAGGTCAACAGTTCGAAACTACCAGCAGTTCTGCGTTAGAAAGATGAGACTTTCTGCTCCTATAAAGATTTACAGCCTTGGAAACCCTGTACAGGGTCGCTAGGGGTCAGAATTGACTCAGTGGCACTTAACGAACAAAAACTAAATTGTCTGATGTGTAATAGCATTACAAAGAAGTTTGAAATATTGTTAAGAATGACCAGAATGTAACAGTCTCAAAGTAAACACATGCTGTTGGAAAAATGGTGCCCATAGACTTGCCACAAACATTCAATTTGTAAAAAATGCAATATTTGCAATGTTACACTAAAACAAGGTAAGCCTGAAGTCTGCATATTGAATAAAGAAATGAATTCTTTATAAAGTATGAGTCTGCATAGGATTTTTTTTTTGCTCATTATTTTGATGTTAATCTACCCTAGGTTCTGTCCCTTCTACAAGACAGTAGGAATGCTGTCCAACATGATCACGTTTTATGAAATGGCCCGTAGAGCTGTAGAAACTACTGCACAGAGTGATAGTAAGATCACATGGTCCAATATCCGTGAGCATATGGGAGAGATCCTCTATAAACTTTCCTCCATGAAATTCAAGGTAAGTTTTGTTTCTGCTGTAACTTTTTTTTTTTTTTTTCAAGTTTTTATTGTGAATTATGTGATAGTTTACATGGGAGAACGTTAGCTTTACATTCATCCTATTGTATATCATTTCATTGCCATGATTATAATCCCTTCCATACATCATCAACCAACCAAAGTGTATACCCCATAAGCCTGCCCCTCAGTCATCAGCACACAGCTCCTCTCCCTCTCTGCTGTAATTTTTGTTCATAGGAAGTGTTTCTATTTTTCCTAATTGAGTCCAAAACATGTAAAACTTGGATTTGTTATTTACAGTGTATAAAACCAAAACAGGCCTTAAAATCATGTCCAAGTAAGACTCTAATTGGTAAAATTATAGTATGTCACGTCTAAAATAAATGTTGACGTTTTTTCCCTTTCTGTCATAGCTGCCAGGAAATTTAGGACTATAATGCATTGCTGAGCAGTAATTACCTTACCTTAAGTGCTTATTAACATCTTTCCCTCTTGCTCTTCTGAAATGATGTCTCTGCTGTTTACTTCTTTCAATTATCCTATTACACACCATATTTAACTTTCAAGTGGCCTCTTGTTCGTATAGGCAAGGCATAAGTGGATGCGTAAGTGAAGTTATCAGTAGAAACTCAAATGTATAAGATTGTTTTTAAAATATTTGATCAGTTGAATTGTATTCAGTTGCTTCTAAGTCATTACATCTAGGCCTATTTACTAATTATCTATTGAGAATGATACTCTTGAGTGTGTATATAGTATAATACTGAAAAAAAAAATATATATATATATACACTGATCGATAGATACAAATCTATCTGTTTATCTACCCATCTATCTGTGCTGTTGTTAAGTGCCATTGAGTTGGTTCTGACTTATAGAGACCCTGTATAGGACTTCTGAGAAGCAGCTGGTGAGTTTGAACTACTGACCTTGCAGTTCAAACTGACCTTGTGGTTCAGTGCATTGTCCTACTGTGATGGTTTCTGATAATGTGATTAAATGTGATATTTTCTATTTATCCACCCATTGTATCACATGAACATTGCATACGTTTGAAGGGGTTTTTTGGTGTGTGTGTGATTTGGGTGAATTTTACAGAGCAAACTGGATTTTCATTCAATAATTCATATACATCTTTTGACATTGATTATAATCCAATGTAACAGCACCCCTCACACTTCCTTCCTTACAAGTATTTTTTATGTTATTAAATATTCTACTATAGAATTATTTTTGAGGAAGTAGCTTTTCCCCAGTCACATTTTGAGTGCCTTCCAACCTGAGGGGCTCATTTTCTGGCACTATATTTGACAGTGTTGCTCTCCTATTTATAAGGTTTTCAGTGACTAAATATTAGGCAGTAGTTTGTCTCTCCTTCTTCCTAGTCTGTCTTTGTCTGGAAGCTCACCTGAAACCTGTCCATGGGTGACCCTGCTGGTATTTAAAATACTGGTGGCATAGCTTTCAGAATCACAGCAACTTACAAGCCACCACAGTATGACAAACTGACAGATGAGTGGTGGTAAACCCACAGCACCCAGTATCCCCAGGCAGTCCCCGTCCAAGTTTAACCAGGCCCAACCCCACTTAGCTCTGAGATCAGATGAGACCAGGCACATTCAGGTTGGTATCGCTGTAGAACCATTCCAAAACGAGGTGACCCAACAGAATCAGACAATCTCTGTGATATCCCATGCGAGTAAAATTTTGCTAGAGGTAATACAGAAACGGCTGCAAGCATACATTGACAGAGAACTTCCAGAGGTTCAAGCTGGATTCAGAAGAGGCCGTGGAATGAGGGATATCATTGCTGATGTCCGATGGATCAGAGAATATCAGAAAGATGCTTACATGTGCTTTATTGACTAAGCAAAGGCTTTTGATTGTGTGGATCATGGCAAGCTATGGACAACATTGTGAAGTATGAGTATTCGATAACACTTAAGTGTGCTCATGAGGAATCTGTACCTGGACCAAGAGGCAGTTGTTCGAACAGAAGATGGGAACACTGAATGTTTTAAAATTAAGAAAGGTGTGTGACAAGGTTGTATTCTTTCACCATACTTGTTCAACCTGTATGCTAAGCAAATAATCTGAGAAGCTGGGTTCTGTGAAGAAAAACATGGCATCAGGATTGAAGGAAGACTCATTAACAACCTGCGCTATGCAGATGATACAACTTTGCTTGCTGAAAGTGAAGAGGACTTAAAACATTTACTGATGAAGATCAAAGAGCACAGTTTTTGGTATGGATTACATCTCAATGTAAAGAAAACAAAACTCCTCACCACTGGACCAATAAACAACATTCTTATCAGTGGAGAAGAGATTGAAGTTGTCAAGGACCTCATTCTTCTTGGATCAACTATCAACACTCACGGAAGCAGCAGTCAAGAGATCAAACGAAGTATGAAGTATTGCATTAGGCAAATCTGCTGCCCAAGAGCTTTTTAAAGTGTTGTAGAGCAAAGATGTCAGCTTGAGGGTTAAGATGCACCTGACCCAAGCCATGGCATTTTCAGAAACCTCATATGCATGCGAAAGCTGGACAATGAATAATGAAGACCTGAGAAGAATTGTTGCCTTTGAGTTATTGAAAGTGTCATGAGTTGCCAAAAGAACCAATAGATCTGTTTTGGAAGAAGTGCAGCCAGAGTATTCCTTGGAGGGCAAAATGGCCAAACTTCGTCTCTCATACTTTGGACATATTGTCAGGAGGGAGCAGTCACTGGAGAAGGATATCATGTTTGGTAAGGTGGAGGGTCAGAGGAAAAGAGGAAGACCCCCAATGAGGTGGATTGGCCAAGTGGCAGCATTGATGGACTCAAGCGTGGCAACAGTAGTGAGATTGGCTCAGGATTGGACAGTGTTTCATTCTGCTGTGCATAAGGTCGGTATGAATCGGTACTGACTTGATGCCACCTAACAACAACTTAGAATTATTTTGCTGCTGCTGTTAATATTTTCCAATACTTAGGCATTTAGGAAATTTTCAAATGTTGGTTTGAACAGCTTAGTGTATATAGTTGATTTTATATCTTTTCGTAGTATAGATTTCCAGGTTGTAATGACTGGATCAGAGAACTTGAGCTAAAGTCTCTTTTATACATATTACTACTTAGTTGCATTTCATAAGGATTTTAAATGTAGCAAATTTTAAAAGATTTTATATTTCACAAACAACTTGCTTGTTAAATGTGATACTTGTTGTTGTTAAGTGCCATCGAGTCAAATCTGACCCATAGGGTTTCCAAGGAGCAGCTGATGAGCTTGAACCACAGACCTGGTAGTTCAAAAAACTTTGCAGTATGATGCATCAGCCCACAGTGCCACATCAGGACTCCAAATGTGATGCTATCAGATCTTTAATAGTAATAATTCATCCCATGTATCATATACAAGCAATGGGATATGTAACTTCCCAGTAATGTGCACGTTTTTAAGGATAAATTCATTGATTGCTATATACAGTTCACAGGCAAAATCTTTGCTTGGAGTATTGTTTGCTTACATATTTCTAGCCTTAAAGAAAAAAAAACAACGATAATATTTACTCCTGTCTGTGATTTACTTCTACTTCACTTAACCTGGTCCTCAAATTATTATGTTTCTAACTGACAGCGACCCTATATAGGGTTTCCGAGGCTGTAAATCATTGTTGTTGTTGTTAAGTGCCGTCGAGTCGGTTCCGACCCATAGCGACCCTGTACAGGGTTTCCGAGGGTGTAAATCCTTACGGGAGTAGAAAGCCTCATCTTTCTCCCGCGGAGCGGCTGGTAGTTTCGAACCGCTGACCTTAAGGTTCGCAGCCCGATTCGTAACCACTACGCCATTACAGGAGCAGAAAACCTCATCTTTCTCTCATGGAGCTGGTGGTAGATTTGAACTGCTGACGTGCGATTAGCAGCCCAATTCATAATGGCTACTAGAGCTCCTTCACTATAATAAGGGGCTTCAAAAGTTTGTGGGAATATTTCATTATCTTCTAATTCTATTTATCTACAAATTTTAAGTCCCCTCATATTAAATATGTTAGCTACTGCATGCTCTTGACAAATTGAAACCTAAAATGTTTTTTTCTTTTTTCCAGGATCCAGTGAAAGATGGTGAGGCAAAGATCAAGGCAGACTATGCACAACTTCTTGAAGATATGCAGAATGCATTCCGTAGCTTGGAAGATTAGAACTGTGATTTCTTTCCTCTTTTCCCTCAGCAAGCTCATCTGTGTTTATTTTCTTAAATTCTCATCTCAAACACTTGCTTCTGTATTGTGCAGCCTTGAGACAATGTGTATTATCATTTGTTCCTGTGTTTATTTGGTAGGTCTTATATAAAACAAACATTCCTTTGTTTCAGTGTTTGAAAGCCTCCCTATTTCTTTTATCTGAAGTGGTGAATGTAGTAAATATATATATACAATGGCTACACTACTGTAAACTTGTCATGTAGCGTGATGCGCATAACCTTTTCCTAGGTTTGCCCTTTCCTCGTCTCCATGAAATTGTAAACAGGACTACTGCATGTACTCTATTTGCAATGGATTTAGAATGGAAGATCAGGTACTCTGGGAAATGACTCAATATCTATATGGTAAGGAGATTTACAGTTTAACATTTCTAAATAACGGCTTTGCAGGAAGTACTTCCTTTTAAAAAACATGAATGATTAATGACCCAATTACACTTTGCTTTCCCAGTATAAATCAGGAAATGTGCAGGGGGAACGTTACTGTTTTTAAAACAGGTAGTTGTGGGATTCAGCACAATACAAGTGGCCTTCAAAAAGTTTGTGGAAAACTGGAATGAAAATATAGGAAATTTTTCTATGAACTTTTTGTAGCCCCCTCGTCTATGAATCAGTATCCTCCAAGAAAGTGAAATAGAAACCAGGCATTCAAGCTTAGTTTAACATCATCGTCTTAAAACATACTTTATTTCACTAGAAAAAATTCAATATTACTACATTACTAGTAAATAAAATGACATTTAAAACAATCACTGAACACTTGATCCACATCATACCTTTTCTGTTCCACTAGCATCCTAGAAGCCTAAGCTTCTGAGAACTATGTGACAGTATGATTGGAATTAAGCTGCTTACAACTTTCAGGGCCAGCTGGACTGTAGTGATTTAGGGGGCCACAGTGGCATTATGGTTTCATAAAATAATGAGATGTGTCACTTATTTGTTTGTTGAAGTTTTAACCAAAAATTTACCAATTACAGAAATACTTTGACTTAGTTTTTGATTTATTGACTCAAAAGGTTTCTCCAAACATCTGTAATCACAGCAACAGAACAATTTCCAATCTCTTTAATAGTGATGAAATGCGTTCTTGTCTCTGTTGGTAACAGAATCTGTCATGTGAAAAAGATAATTTCATCTTGTCTTTTAAGTATTTATTTAACAATAATGACGTTTGTGTTTGTGTAATACAGCACACTGCAAAATAGCTCTGAGAGCAACAGTTTCCCATGAGCAATGGGAACAGTTTCTGACCAATAGTGCGGCCACCTTTGCTTCCTCTTTGGGAAGAGGCAAAGGTAGGTTGGCATGTCTAATAATCTCAAATACCCAAATGTAATAGCATAGATAAAGTAATTCTTTTGTGCCCTAATATATTATTATTAAAATGTTTAGATAATACATTTCTATTGGTCTATTAAGGAAATATGCAATCAGTAGAGAATTCAATATTTTCTTTAAACCCTTGTGGATTGCTTGCTTACATTGACCTGCTATTAAGGAAAGGTATTCTTCCAACAAACTTTTTTTAATCTTTCAGAGTATTGACAGATAAAAATTATGCAACAGTATGTTGAGAAATGTAGGCATAATGATGCTGCTTAATCAGTTTGCTTCCAACTTTACCTCCTACCAAAGGCCTATGACCAGTGGAAATTCAAGGGATTTCAAAAACTCTCTTCCTACCTTAAACCTACCAGCATTGTGATAGTAATGAATGATCTGATGAAGAAAGTTTGACCGAGTTTGTTTTTTGCTATGCTGAATTTGCATGTACATTCTTACTCCTTTTAAGGATGTTGATGTATGAGTGTGAAGATGCTAGAGAAACTGCTCAGATATCCATTGTAAGTGTCTCTTGACCTTTGTGTTATAGAATTTCAGATTAGGTCACTGACCATATTTCTTTAATAAGACTGTGTTACAGTAATCTTTTTAAAAGATGATGCAATTCTATATTTATTGTGCTGTGCCTGGTCCTGAGTGGAGCCAGTTAAACAAGTTTCATATGTATTTTTCCAGTGTTAAATCTCACACATTGTACCCTTTGAAAATCTTCCATCCTGAAAAAAGAATAGAAGAGGTCATATATATATTGCCTCCTTATCCTCGAAATTTCATTATGTTAAAAGTTGTGTATAATGATTAAAATCTATGAAAAAATAAAAAGTGGATATAAATTAACATTTCCTTTCTTTTTTATGTGTATGGCAAGATCTTCTAGGATCCATATTATCTTGTTATATTCAGTCTTCTCTTTGTTCTCAGCATGAATTTCGAATTTTTTATCTCTCCCTTTCTTTATAAATTGATACTTAACATCAAGACATTGAATCAGGGTCCTTGCTATAGCTTGCAGAAAGTTCTGGAATCATATCCCACTATTATTTTTTAAATATGATACCCAGAATTACCTCAAGTTTTAGTATTCTGGATACTGTTCCATATAATAAAACATTATTATAAAATGAAAAAGTGATTGGTTTCTAAACATGCATTTAAAAACTAAAGGACATCCGTAGTACTCAGCTCAATTTTTGGCAAATAAAGCCTTGTAATTCATTATTTTGCAAGTCAAATTAATTAGGACAAACGGAGCACTGTTACATGGGGCATATTTTGTTTTCTTAAATGTGTGTTTAACAATTTCCAAGGACTCCTGGTGTGGCACTGTGGGCTAATGCATCAGACTGCAAAGTCGTTTGAACTGCCATCTGAGGAACTACAAGGTCGGGGGTTCAAGCTCACCTGCTGCTCCTTGGAAAACACTATACAGGATTGGAATCAACTCGACAGCACTTCACAACCACACAAGGGTTTTGTTTGTGAAGCAAACAACTTTATGTTACTATTGTATCCCTTTAATTACTTATTATGTGCAGTGGGGGAGTAGAAAATTAAGACGGAATGAAAGGGAGCCAATAAAGTGTTATACTTTAAGCTATGGAGCATCATCCTACTGGAGAGTTCTGGTGACAAGAGAACTAGGGTAGTGCTATCTGTCATTGATCGACAGCCATCCCCTGCCAATTGTCAGTTGAAGGCTGCTCCCACATTGGACAGTGAGAGTTAATGGCCAGTACCTACTTGTGGCACTATAGGATAAAGCATTGGACTGCAAGGTTGGCTTGAACAATGAGGTAATTCAAACTCACCAGTCACTCCTTGGAAACCCTATACAGAGTCTATGAGTCGAAACCAACTCAATGGCACTTAACAATAACAATGGGCTCTTGCCTTTCAAGCTGCCTGAGAAATGTGACGATGTTCCTGCTGTGCCTCTGTGATCTCACACATGCTTCCCCCTCCCGCCTTCCTTCAAGTATGTTTGCCGGGGACCAGCCTCGACATAATTATTAGGAGGGTCTCGATAGGAGGATGTGGAGTCGGCAAATGAAAAAAAAATTTTAAAAACTCAGTCATTTTGAGTCTTAGGCAGATGGTGGTAATGACTCTCTCTGATGACTCCCTTTCTGACTGCTGCCTTGACTGTTTATTTCAAAATTGTTGCTTCTTATATCCCATTTAGAATATACTATAATCTCAACAGTCATGTACAAGCAGTTACAAATCAATCAAATATTATATTGTTAAATCAATGGTACAAGAGGAACACAAGGTCACCAAACATTCCTGTGTCTCTATACTCCTTAGTTACTTCTTAGTTACCGTGATAACGTCTGCCTTCTGTGAGCGACTCTGTTTCTTTCTAATCCTCCCTAAAATGTCTGGTTAATATTAAACAAAGTTCTACATCTTAATTTCTAACTTTACCAACATCTATTACTTTCTATAGATTCATTAGTTAGAGATTACAATCAAAAACAAATTTTTGCTATAACTGCTTATACATATAATTGATCAAACAATAAAAACAAGAACATAAAAGTACCCTAAAGTTTCATAGGTAAGAACAAAGCGGTAATTCTCTCATGCCAACAATTTCTCCAAACTTCTAATCTAACTCTTACCTCTGTTCCCAATCTCTCACTGCACTTGACTGTCTCCTAAAAGCCTTAATGTCCTTGACTAAAACCACCTGGAATGTTTCTTACAATTTTAAGCTTGAATTGCTAAAACTTAGCTAGTGTGGTTATTTCTAATGTTAAAACTTATTGTTAATGTAAAAAACAATTTTTATAATTACATAAGATTGAATATGGTGTGAAAGTTAATGTGAAAGGCAACTATTATAACGTAAGGTTTGTTTAAAGTATCTAACGATTATGCAAGATTTTCTAAAACTTCTTATAAGGAAATCAGAAATAAACTATTTTTCCAAGGGAGAGCTAGAAACCATGGGTCCCCTGCATGAATCATCCCTTGTAGCTTTGCTATCCAAGGGTGGCATTCATTGTCGCTCTGCTAAACAATGAACTTTTCATGCATAAAGCTTCTCGCAGTTCTGCTCCTTGGCAGGATGGTGTCCGCCATTCGCAGGATGGCGTGTGCCATATGTTCAGTTGTGTCTCCTAGTGAGCACTAGCACAGGGCTAGTCAGATCCATTTTGGAATAGACACACCTGACGCAGGCTCCTCCTGCTGTCTACTTTTCTTTGATTCTGCACCCAGTGACCACACAGCTCAGATCCTTCTACACATGGTATAGATCTCTCCCTTGGGGTGTGTTTTCGTATAGGTCTCTCCACTGGTCGCCAGAGCAGAGATGAGTGGACAGAGCAATGGAAAAGAAAGAAAAAGTATTTGTACCTTTGCCTCTGCAGTTTGCTGGCAGGTTTCTGCACTGGGAGTGTTCTCTCGCCCCTCTATCCGCTCACTCTTGTTAAAAATGATTGCAGTGGAACATGTTGGCCACCCCAAATCAAAAGTCACCTCCTTTCTTCTTTCCAAATCTTACTCCTGGTAAGCACTCGATCTACTTATTTATCCTTTAACTGAATGTCAGAGTTCCAGGACCATCCTCTGAATCTCTTTTGTCTTGTTTTCCATGTTTTTACTGGTGGGGTGGGGTGGGGTGGTGGTATCTACACAGCTTTTCTGCCGAGTGTGATGTCAGGCCCCACCCTTCTTGTATGCTTATCTTTTCATCTTCCGTGATGTTAGGGAAGTTTTCTATCAACAACTCTTTGACAGTTTTCTCTGTTATTTTTATTTACTCTTCCTGTTCTGGAATTCCAGTCACCCGTAAGTTATATCTCTTCATGATGTTCCACATAACTCAGGTTTTCTTTCTTTCTTTCTTTTTTTTTTTTTCTGATTGTCCTAGCATACTGTTGTTGTTGTTGTTGTTAAGTGCTGTTGAGTCGATTCGGACCCATAGCGACCCTATACAGGGTTTCCAAGGATCAGCTGGTAAGCTTGAACCACCGACCTTGCAGTTCAAACGGCTTTGCAGTCTGGCGCATTAACCCACAACGCCACACCAGGACTCCGTCCTAGCATACTAGTATTAAGAAATTTACCTTCAAGCTCACTAGTTTGGGCTTCTGTTGGTTAGAATCTA